TGTTTTGTTTTTACCGATCCGTTTGCATTCATGGTATGTGTGTTGCCTTCTCTAGGGTCTGTGAAAGTCCCAATATCGCTTCTTCCGATCCGTGTTCGTTTGTGCAATCAATGTCTTCAACCCAACATGAGCACTCGTGCACCCCTCTGCATTTGCTATAGAGAACGATTCTGCTTCATGGAACCAAGGCGCTCCGCAGTAGTCGCAAGGAGAACTTGGCGTCGGAGTTGAAGACGGTCGGCCAAAAGGCATCATGTGCATGTTGTGCACCCGTCTCTCCTTGTGGTAGCGCAGCGATGATGATATCCTGGGTGAGGCAGACGTGCAAAAAGTATTGAAAGGTGGGACGTCGGGGCAACAGCTCAGCATCGCCCGCCCATGAGGCTTTGGTATAGTTGGCGTCGGGGAACCCTGTTGTGATTTTTTGAAACGCCCCTGTAGTGTCGCGTAAGAGGTATTTAGCGTAAGCTGTGCCACAGTTCTGTAGGTGAATCGGTGTTCATTTCCGGTACGGCATTTTTTCAGGACTCTCGTGAGGTAGCCCTTCCCCACAATTCGTGGTAAAACATGCAGCAGTCGTAGACGCATGTGGGTATCGCGATGTCCCCCTTCACTAGTTAGTTAATTGTTGGCTTGTTGTGCTCTTGTGGAACCCCGGCACCAAGTGTGCCTCACTAATCCGACGTGTACGCTCTCAGGATATGTCCAACCTGTGCTTTCTCGAAGTTTGGCGTGTGTGGAGGTTAGTGCGCCGAACTAACTAGGACTGGTTGGCCTAGAGTTTTCTGAAGAGTGGGACAGCAGTGCTGCATGCGATAACGCTGCCATGTGCAGTAGCCGCGTGGTCAAGGTGGTATTATAAGTTGGAGTTTGATTTTTCGCGAGAGGTCCGTACAATACACGAATCTGGAGACCTTCTCTTTCCCAAAGCTGCTTTTGTGTATGTGCAGTGTGGACGAATGAGGTTACTGGGCGTGTTTCATTTGTTTCATTGGCGACAGAGTTGTCGCTGTCAGCGGGGTATGCGATCGTTATGCCAAGTTGGGCCTGGCGTGCAGCGGCAAGTGTCTTATGTAGCTGGCGGGAGAGGAAAGCGGATAGGGGGCGCAAGCGGTCCGTCTGTAGTCGTTGGTATTTCGGAGGTTTTGTCAAGAGTTGGGTTCGAAACAGTGGTAATAACTGCACACACGACTTATAATAGTAAATTGTCGAGATGGCGAGCCATCGTTGTACTCATTTGCAGTATCCTATGAAGTTGCTCTCAATCGACGTGTAAGACAATCGAGCGCGGTGTAGACCAGACAATCTCGTCAAGGCGACGGTCAAGGAAGGATCTTCTTGTCTTGATCGCCTCTCGTCTCCTTTGCAGTTTCAACAGCTGCACCAAGCGTCACTCACCACATGGCGCGCATCAGCCCCCGCAGCGCTACTGCAAGCCACCTGCGGCCTACCCATTCCCGATCACATTACTGTACGTCTCACACCTGCCGCGAGTGCGTTCCTCTTCCGGCAGCAACGCTTTCCTCCTTGGCGGCCTCGGCATCGTGCTGGTTAACCGCCGCGCTTAGCCCAGCCGCCAGCGTCTTCTCGGTGACTTCCTTGCTGTCCAAAGATGCCATGATTTGCGTCTGCTTGGTTGGGCCGAGAAGAAAGTTGACCCATGGAAAAAAAGAGACATTAGACTACACGCGATGAAAGGGTAGGGTGGGAGGACGAAAGCGATTCACTTCGCTTGACATACTCGCGTTCGCGTCGTTACCATCTTGCGGTCTCCGGAATGTTCGGCAGACGGCAGGTCGCTCGATTAGCTGGGATATCTCAAATCAAGCCCACGAACCCTGAGAGCGGAAGACGCAAAACACTCCAACATCCTCCTGCATTAACCACAGCATCGCATGCGGTTGTGCATATGGCCTTGAATCTGTTTCGTGGTCCTTGACGTCAGCAATACTTGCGAATGCCGTATCTACGTGCCATACTTTCGTCCTGCCTCAATAGGGACAACATGCGTGGCCGTGGAAGCTATCAATCACGTCCTTGGTGTGCGCGATGTGGATGTGCTGTTGAGTTATTTACACTGAACGAATCAGTCACCTTTGCGGTTGCCCCCCTGGCTCTCTTCGAGGCTCCCCCTGCACCCCCGCCCTTGTCCTCCTCACCATCCCGCGCACGCTTCTGCATAGCCGTCAGGAGCCCGAATACTGCTCGGCTCACATCGGGGATGTACTGCAAGGTGGGAGGGGGGGAAACGATACACAAGCGGTGAATCATGCGAGTTCGAGGCCTTCCGTTCGACATACCACCATCTGTAGCCCCAAACTCTAACTCTTCTTCCCCCCAAGAGGTTGTTTCGTGCTTCCGTGCCTACTTCGGCTCTCTGTCTCTCGGACGAACGTGACTGAGTTGCTTGCCTTGGTGAGGACCTTCTTCCTCTCTTTCTGTTCGCGTAGGGCGTTTCTCCGGAGGAGGTGCGTCCTGAGCTGCTGGCAGCACTGCTGCAGCGCGTGCTTGACAGCTTTCTTGATCTCCTCGGTGTCATCCCCGATGTATTCCTTGCTCGTCCCCTGCCATGGCGGTGGTGAACATCAAGAGACGGACCTTGTTATGCACCATATGCTCGGGAGACCAGAAACGAGCGTGAAGGCCAACGACAATGATAACGCGACTGCCTTTCGTGGCGACGTGGTCATGAGGTGAGCGCGAGGGTAACGAGCGCCTATCCAGGCCCGGGCAAGCCAATCAAGAGTCCTACTTTGCCAACCAGCACCTTGAAGGGGATTTTGGTGCTGACGGTCGAGACGAATACGCCAATCTTGTCCCTCTTGTGGTCCACCTTGTACGAGCTCCAGCTGTGACATGAGACGAGGTCAGACGAAATGAAATGACATGGGATGGGATGAGATGGGACGGGACAGGGTAGAAAAGGATACACGGATTGACGGGGTCCATCCAGCCCACACGAAAAAAATACAGACATGCGTCATGAATCATGCGCGAAAACGCCAACGGGTTCAACAGAGAAACGAATCAGGTAGTGTTCAGTTGGCATCTCGCAACCCTCTGACGTGTGGGACGTAAGTGCGATCTTCGGCGCAGTCACGCGAACTAGAACTAATTTCACATGCCCAAAAAAGGGTCGAAAGTGATTCGTTCTTGAGCACAGTCGACGAGGGCATGGGACAGCTTAACCCTTCTCGCGATAAAAATGCAGGCAAGAAATCGCGAAGAAAAATGCGGAGAAACAAGGGCGGAGAGGCCGGGTGCAAGACGGGACGGCAGGGCCGTACCGAGCTCTCACTTTATTCGCTTCATGGCAACCCTCGTCACCACGTCACTGCCAGCCTCGAAGAGGAGGGGGATACGGTTGGCGAAGCGGTAGACGTTCACGCCCTCCTTGACCTGATTGGTGACGATAGACGAGAGGGAGAGGTATAGCGAACGCCACAAAGTCAAGAGTCAAAGAGGTTCATCGCACAGACAGGTAGGTAGGTACACGTGCCTCGTCGGTGACACATGTTGGCTCCGACGAAGCGCAATGGAGATAATGTACCAAAAATGCAGGCTTTGCAGTCCCTTTGTTCCTCACTCTTGAAACTGTCACAATATTTAGCTAGTGAGGTTACTTGTACCAGACACCCTTCCCAGGAGAAAATACCAACACGGAGCGCGAGGTGCTACATACATGCGCGGCGGGACAAAGACAACGTTGACGAAAGCGGACCAACTTGCCTCTGCCCCTCCAAGCGAAACGCCTGCTTCCACCACAAAGGGGTGTCCCTCCAGTACGGCAGGTTTCTCGCTGAAGGTGGCCACGTACATCGGCTGCATTTCCTTCATGATGCCCAGCCTGACGACGAAAAGACAAAACGGCAACAGCAACCCCCACCAACCGGAGGCACCCAAGAAAGACCACGGAAAGCAGAAGGCAAGCGCATAAGAGAAAGAGGACATCATGATCGGGCGGATACTTCCGTCAAGAAGCGACGCAGTGCACTTTAAATGTGGCATGACGAACGCCGAATTTCGACGAGTTGTAGAAGCATTCGGCCGCTCACACCATCACGCAACCTCGCCGTGTTGCACGCCCTGAACACCGCTTGCATTTCTTCGGGCGCCCAAGAAAAGATTCACACACCCGCAGGGCTTACAAACGTCGCAAAGTGTGCCCGCCCCTTCAGCACCTACTTGGCACTATCTTCCTCGCCACTTGCTTTGCTTGCTACATGTACAGATGCTGCATGAAACGGACCGACTTCGCGAGAAATTAAGTTAGTGAGGAAGTAAAACAGGGGCGGGGTACGCAGACCCCACCCCCTAAAACCTAACCAAACTTCTCCGATTGCATGCTTTCTCCGACACGTTTACTTCAAACGAAAATAAAAATACCCTGCGAAGTCTATCGATCTACAGCAGTACTGCATGAAACCTGCCTGAGGTTGTACTCCCCAGCTGGGCTGAGGCATGCCCCGTCCGGCGGCTTGAAGCGCTTCACGTCCCTGAGCATCTGCGTGAGCCTCGAGACCATCTTGACGGTCAGCGCGGAGGGTTGCATCTTCGGGTGGAAGCCTTCCCCCAGTTCCGCGATGATTCGCTCCGACAGCGGTCTGCGTCGACGCGTCGAAGACAACAAACAACTTTTGTCGCTCGCACCAGAACGGTCCCTCGTTTTGCAATGCCAAGTGGTGTGTTAATGACGTCGATTCTTGGTACACGAAGGACGCGGGCGGTAGCAGAAATACGTACAGCAAAAATAGAGTGGGTTTGCGTTCAGATGTGCTTGACAATATTTCGCTCTTCTGACAACGTTTAGAACAAACACATGACGCCCTTTCGGATGAGTGCGGGCAGGCGTTCGGGGCCGTAAGATCACCAAACCGCGATCCCAACGGCAGAAATCCTGGGTAAATACGCTTGGCGGATCCACATTGCACAGTCGTTCAAGGCCAGGAAAAAAAACAAACTTCACGGCAATTGCATCCCTCGACAAGGCACCTCTTCTCCTGACATCAATCTGCTCTACACAGAACGCTCGTAAGTCCGAGCAAGTAACGAATCTGGTGCCCCGAGAGCTTGCGTGGGAATGACCGCTGCTCGCCTGTCGATGGAAGACAGGTCCTTCATCAGAAATCCCACCAGGTCCTTGCACTTGGTCCTGCAATCGGAATCAGGCGTTGGTTGTTCGGGAAGGGAGGGAGGGAGGGATGAAGATTCAGTAGCATGCACCGTACAGCCGAGCGCTGGGGGGCAGCGTCATTGTGAGCTATGTGTCTCGCAGACCGGGTGATGATGCACCTTCCCGCGAGCTCAAGCAGGAAAAAACAAAATGGCACTGTCTGGTAGGACCCGACAGAAAATCTGCTGCTGGGAAAACGTGTCAGAATAACAGCAGCTAACGAAGTCGGCGCTGGGCGGATAACAAAAATGACACGCCAAAGTGCACCTACCCATGAAACAAGCATCTAACTGGCTTCGAAAGCAGCTTGAATACAACCGCGATGAGTGCTACTTGCATGGCCTTGAGCAAAAACAGCCAAAACGAGCTGGATCTTCGACACTCGCCTGTGAATAAGCTGCTGTACGAGGAGGTTGTTGACGCTGCCAGGGTGGTGCTTGACTTCGTACGCGAGGGGGGGCATCTGCTCCGAACGGCGGCGGTAGACGGCCGTGAGATCCTTCTTGGGGTTGGCGTGGCTGTGATACTCCAGCTCCAGTTCCGCGTACGGCGTGATGATGGCCAGTTGTTGCAGGTACTGCAAGTTCACGGTGTAGGGGGGGGGGGGGGGGGCTTCGGGGATCCCAAAAAAGGTCCTTGGGTTTTGCCCTACCTTCTTTTCCCCTTTTCCCAAGTCCGTCCCGGGGGGGGTTGTTGGCTAATTCCCCACCCACCCCAAACCCTCCGGGGGGCAAAACATACTCAATTTCCCTTGGAAGGGAAATACCGTCCCTACCCTTATGGGAAACCCCCC